AATACTCTGCATACTTTTTCATGTGATTCCGTTTATTTAGAAAATTCTCAACAGGATCTTGAGCTTTATTGTGAAAGGTTAATGTGGAAAATAAACAAGCGGACATGCGATGGTTTTACCGTCGTTGTTGCTAACGACAACCCATAAAAACAGGCGCTTGTCCATCCGTAGTGTGGTTATATTAAATATAAGAGAAAGAGAGAACTTTAAGAAATGAATATAGCCACTACAGTGGCCATCAAAACGATGAAAAAAATATTGCCGTAAACAGTTTATTTTGCGACACCACGAAACAAACAATAGCGTAAAATGAAACGATAGACGTTTTTATATCGTCATCCGATATAAATTGTTATATCGAACAGCCCTAGTAGCAGAGAAACGCCAAACTGAGCAACATGAGCCTTTAAAAAGGTTTGGTGTATTATTCTGTGCAACGTTTCTGATTCTGGTTAACTAGAATATTTCCACCTGTGCATCTGGGGCTACTTTACTCTGAGCCGCTCCCAAGTGACCAAGCTTCTCACTGTAGCTCTAAGGGAGAGCCCAGGCATTCTTCCATTGAAGGCTTATTTCAGCCTTCTTCATCTGCAGTCTCACTCTGTTTTCCCTCAGTGGTTAGCCAGTGATTTCTGGAGGTTGGTGGCTGTCTCTGGGTTAAATCGGTCACACAGAGTATGTTTTGATTGACCTTGTGATTTCTTTGGTCTCGCAGATTCCTGGGTTGGCCCATAGTGTTCATGCAAGATGCATTTGTCTGCAAGCACTTGTTACCTTATGGAGAACATTCTACTTTAAAGGAATAGTTGTCTTTACTGCTAAATCATGTGACTGGGGCTTTAGTAGTTGATTTTGCAGCAACTGCCTGCAACTGGTGGCTGGCTGTAGGCATGTGTGACTGGAGACTAAGGTTCATTAGATTTCTTTAAATCATTTTAGTGTTCGATGTTATTTTTATAACAGTGCAGTTGACCGGAGCTAATTCCTTCAGTTCAATGTGTTTTGTGATTAAGATTGGCTCATCTAAAACAGTCTGATAGTCTAAATCTAATCTATAACCTAAAATCAGTTTAGATTTGGATTGGAAATGGGAAAATTGGAATAATAATCGTTTTTTTATTAGCATTATTTTTTTGTTATCCTACATTTTCCAGCATCTCTTTACAACTGTTTTTAGTGGTTAAAAATTAGCTGAAATAAAAACCTAAAAACAATTTCCCCCTTTTATCCCTGTGTTTTTTTATTTTTTTAACGAAATCAAAAGTCTGTTACCGGTAGTTTAAATAATACAGACATTTGAATTTCCTAATGGAGCTATTCTTGGTTATGCTTCACTGTTTTGTTTCATGATTAATGAATCTTAGCCTCATGGGATTAATGTAGCTTTTCTTTTTTCTTGTACATCTTCTTGTGCTTTCTCAGTTGAAAACGAGCATCTGTTTCTACAGCAATGGGCTGATAATAGCTGCATTAGACTGGTTTAAATTGCTAGCTGCTGGCTGGCAGGGAGGTTGCCTATCTGCGGATATCATCAGGTAGTTTTGTTAGTCTACAGTAATTATGGGCAAACTAAGGTAACTGTAAAAGCATTGATGGTAGTAAAACTGGGTCGGGTAGAAAGTCGGTGTCATCTCACTGTGTGTCACCAATTAGTCGTTACATTATACATCTAACTGTCAAACAGCAGCGTCACTAAGGATTCACCCATGATGACATGATTATTTATTTTTTCCTAAATCGAGGCTAAAAATGTAAAACACTCATTACTTTGACTCAGTTTTCTCATCATGCATCTTCATTATCCCTGCTTTGATCTCAGGGCAAAGCTTTGTCTTTGTCACGTAATTCATCATTCCAGCAGTCCCCGGGAGATGGACAGCTTCTGGGAGTTTTCCAATTTGCCATTTAGTAGAGGGAGAATTGGAACAGAAGGTGAAGCTTAATTGCTCTGTTTTGCCAGGAATCATTTTGGGGAAATGTATATGGGGAAATTATAGTTTTCAACATAGAGTGTGTGTGTGTGTGTGTGTGTGTGTGTGTGTGTGTGTGTGTAAACTGATATTTAATGCATTGAAAAACACAGTTACCACAGCTGTAAATAAATATAGATAGATTAATGCTTGAGGAAGCTTAAACATGTGTATTAGTTAAATATCAAGCAGAAGTGTCTCTTGCAGCATCCCAGCTGCCTGTTAAAGTGTATTTTTGCCCAGGAGAAAATCTGTCTTACAATAGCACTTCCTGAGTGCTGACCTAAATCCCAAAGAGCCCTATTGGATGGCATGGAGGAAAAAAGTCATCTCATTTATTCATCCTCCAGTGTAGATGAACTCAAAGTATTACTGGCTGAAACATGGAGGAGACTTTCATCACAGCAGTAACTGAAACAATGGCCTCATATTGTCTGAGAGTTTTGCAATCTTGAAAAAACAGAAGGAAACAAAAGGGGAAAAAATCACAAACTGATATTTTCTTTAACATTTATTTGGTTTGCAAGTATGTTTTGTCTCCATGTTAAACTGTGACTACCATTCTTTAGATTAAGTGCTCTTAGCTTTGCATTGTATTCCTCACATGGACTTTGCCTTTGGGAGCTACAAAAGTATATTTTGCGACTCGTTTAGCTTAAGCAGAACCTTAAAGTGATTCCTCACAATAAGGTTCTGGGTTTGCACCTCCTAGTCGACTGGGCCCTTTATGTGTAGAGTTTCTGTGTTCTCCCTGTGCCTGTGGGACCTTCTGAGTACTCTGGTTCTCTCCCAAAGGCATTTTAGGTTAATTAGCCATAGGTGCATGTATATGGGAGAAGGTAAGGTTCTCTGTCCCTCTGCCAGATCTCAGTGGACCGGTGCGTGGTTCACTGCGCCTTTTGCACCATAACTGCTGAGATGGATTGAGTTAAATAAGCGGTTGGATGGGTGGATGAATTTATTAGACAGCATCCATTTCACTGTGATGGACTGCAGCTTGTTTGCCTTCTGTTTAGGAGATTGATTGCAAGCTAACCAGAACCTTGTACCAGGCTGAGGCTCCAGAGCAGAAGGACCACTGTAGTCTGTTGAGGTGCAACATGGTGGCACCGGAATCGGTCTATTCATTGTAGTGCCAGCTTAACATGTATTACTTATTAGTTACTTATTATAATTTATGTACCAATGCACGGATGTGCCTCTGTGCGCCACCACAGAGGCAACAATACAAAAATTGTGTCTTTGTTGGATAAAATGCACATTTCACAGTAAAAGCATCATTTAGAAATCTTTCACTTTTCAAATTGTGAAATCGTAGATCAGGGTAAAAAGTTTCTCAACGTCCCCAAAAAAACCAGTTCTCTCCCGTGGCTACAGGTGAGGAGTGGGAGAAGTTACACTGCTTAAGGAAGTGAAGCAATTTGCTTTGTTTTAAAATGTATGTAGTTTTCTGTTTAAATGGGGAACTAATGGGAACTCACTGTCACTCCTGTGATTAGTGTCACACAGACAACATTAAAGCATCCAGGTTTCTCAAAACAGACTACAGGGGAAAATCTCTACATTAACAAACCTTGAACGTTGAATAAAAGTGATTGTTGTTTCTTTTTTATTTAATTATTATTTTATATTCTCACTGACTAAAGTTGATTGAGTTTCTTTTTCTTTTCCCCCAGATATCATTGACAAGAGTGAGTTGAAGACATTCTTTGAGAGCAACAGTTCTCAGATTTATTTTATCTTCTATGAAAATTTCATTACACTGGAAAGCAACTTAAAACAAAAAGGTGAGTAAAAGCTTTTTTTGTAATAAACTGCACATGAACTATTTAGCTGCTGCTGTCAGTGGCGGTTCAATAATTAACCCTCTCTTTGCCCTCTGTGCTACAGCAAAGGTTATTTTCCGTTTGCCCCACATTTCCAGAGCAGCGGTACTTAGAGAATCAATCTGATTATGTTTAGTGTAACTGAGTGGATTGAGCTTGCCTTCATTCATTCCCACTGGGACTGCGGTCTCATGGTCATACACGTTCATTTAAATGAATGTTTATGCAATGGCCCATATTATTTTTGCATTATTGATGAAGCTCTATGCAGCATAGCTTCAGGTAAAATGTTTTAAAAACTTTGTACTAAAAGTGTATTCTTTGTGCTTCAGGGAACAAATCTCAAAGGGAGGAGCTGGACTCTATCCTCTTTATTTTTGAAGTAAGTGCTCTGTTGTTTTTTATGTTGATATCTCCATCTGGTATTTCCAGGTAAACTCGGGGAGTAGAATCACCTGCTACGTCCTGAATTCACTTCATAGAGTCTGTAGATCAATAGCAGGTTGTTCTAAGGCCTCATTGTTACGCTGCCATTCAGTCCACTTGTTTTTAAAATCCAGGCGTGCATGCAAATCAGAGGTGTGTTTCATCTCTGCATGCACAGCATGCTGTTGGCTCTCTAGCCCCTCCCTCTGTTTTTGCTGAGCACTTTTATGTTGCACATGCAGGTTAAAGTCCCCTACCTTGTTTTCCCACCTGACTGCAAAGGCAGCTCGAGTTTCCAATACAAACAGTGAGCTCTCCGGTTACATTTGCTCAGGGCAGGGCTGTTAGGATGGCAGCAGATCAAATTGTGGGGCAGTCTGTTTGTCTCTTTTGGTACAGTATGCCTTGCCCTAAATTTTGTCATCACCTGGGAGCAGTATCAGGGTGTTCTTTAAATTACACCAAGTCACAGCTAGGGAAGCGCTGCCAAGGATCCTTAACTGCTGTAGTCTGTCTTGAGCGATGGATTACTATGTTGTTGGGGTTTTGGGGTTTTTTTTGTTTTGTTTTTTTAGTCGGGCATATCAAATGCAAATTGGGCTCAGTGTTTTCGTGTTATCACATTACGTTTTTGGTGCTGTCTGGGTGATGCATCGTGTACTTCATGCATGCTCTGAAATGCTTCCCTATGTGTCTGGCTGCTCATCGTTTTTCCTGCTGGTGTTCTTTCAGTCTGTCAATCTTCTTTAGAATTAACACTTGTGCCGATGCCCCTCTCCTGCAGATCATACCAGAAATTATTTTCTGATCAAAACAGAAAAATGTTATCATTCAGTTCAACATTTCCATTCAGTTCTCTCTATTCTTTACCTAGAAACCCACAGTGTCTGTCTGCACACATCCAGTCATTTGACCTGTAAATAAAGCCTGGATTCATGGCTTCTACATATTTATGGAGTCATCTTTTCAGAGAGAACTAATATTGAAAGCAGCTTAACCCTCATTTTTCCCCTTTTAGCCCCTGCCTGTGACGCTGTGTGCTTTTACCCATGCACTGAGAAGATAAGCTTGCTTTGACTAATGTGGGCAGGACAGATACAGGGTTGCCTTGATCCTGAGCTGTGCTGCACTGTGTGGACATTCTCGTTACACCACATTACATTAAGAATTTTTTCGTCAATGTGATATCAGTGCATGTACTTCGAACATGCATACTTGAAGAAAATGTGTAATATTATGCAACGAAAGATGTGGCAGTGCAGCAGAAAATTAATTAAAACAGTGTTTCGAGGCATTTTGCTCCCTCATAAATTATTTCTACAACAAGCACAGTAATGTAATATATTTCTTATGGGAATTTTACATTTATGCCACCACGTGTGTCATACACCTTCTCTCAGTGCAGGATAATACTTTGTGTAAACGGCCATTGTTAACATAAGTGATGGGAATCGCCCGGCCAAAACATGGCAGCTTTTGTCCAGCAAGCGTCAGAGGATTTTGTAGCGTGGCCTACGAGTGGATAATGGCTGGGACAAAAGCAAGTTTGCAGCACAGTGCTTAGAGTCACACTTTAATGCTGTATGACAGGGTAAGAAGAACAGGACATCTCAACATCACTTCTCATGTTCTTTGTATGAGTTTCCCTGGAGAACCCCGTTTACACTCCTCTCTTCAGGAATGTGAAACGTAGTCTCACGCTCTCACCTGTCCCTCACATCTGCCTGATATATACAGTCCACGTCCCCAGTTTGTTTCCTTTGAGCTGGCTATGTGGGGATTACTTTGCTGTCATGATGAGGTATGCAACCCCTTTTTCATGAGTTGCTGTGGGGGAGCATGATCTCCCATGCTGGGCCCGTTTGAGTAATGGCTGTCTAGAGGGGGTAATCTTTTGTTCCTCTGCCTAAACTGTGCTTGTCCACTCCACCCCCCATCCCACCAGCAGCCATCACTCCCTTCCAGGATTTCTTTGTCTGCTTCCACAGAGGCATCATACCATGGCAGTCTTTATGGGAATGCAACCACATTTCTGAGGATGCAGTCGTGTTCTCAGCATCTTTTATTTTGATATTGATTAAAGATTTTACCCCATAAAAAGCGACATAACACTCATTTATTTTGTTTAACTTTAATAGTTAGTCAATGTTGAATCAAAGGATTGCCCTAGTATGACCACAAGGCTTTGAACTCTCTTGGCAACTGTTTGTGTTTTATGTTAAAACATGTTTTATGTTTTTGAATACGTGTTGCTATGATACATGCTGTTAAAAATAATTCAAACGAAAAGTTTTCAGTGTATAACATCCGCAGAAAAAACTGTGTTTGGCTCCTTTGACCGTGTAGGCCGAGGCTTGAAGTAACGTTAGCAGTTTTTCTAGTCATTCACAGCTTGAGAGAGCGAACACTTAGTTTGATTAGAAGTTCTGAATTTATTGATCGAAATGTGAAAATACTCCACTGCCTAGCCATTAACATCTGCTGCACTTTAATCATTATCTGTCCCTGCAAATGACAAATTCAGTGGAGACTTCCAAGGTGATTGATGGTTAGTTGATTCCTAGGCAGTAACTCCCATACAAATCAGGCACATTAGCAACAAATACACAGAAACAAATGTGATGAAGTCAACGTGATGGTTGTCATAGAACATGGACAGAACATTGAACAGCTGTAAATTCACACAGAAGAAACTATCCTCTGTGTGAGAGTGAAATTGGAAATGGGCAGGTGGGAATTAGGGCTGAACGATTATGGAAAATAATCTAATTGCGATTTTTTGCCCCAATATTGCGATTGCGATGCGATTATTTTTTAAGGTCTTTGTCTTCTGTATTATTAAACAAAGACAAGCAATACATCATATAGTATGGCCAATACTATATTACATTAATTTTAAACTGTTCTTTCCTGGAAGACAGACCCCTGTTATGATGACATGAGGTGATGCATGAATTGATGACTGACATTTTTATTTAACTTCTTCAATCACAACAGTATATTTGAACATACACAATAGTTTATTTTTAGCTTACAAACATCTGAGCATAAAGTGCTGACAAGGAACCCTGGTGTAAACATTAAAATGAAAGTCAGTACAATGTGCAGATTGCAGAAATATACATAAAAAAAATCAGTGGCTTTACCACACTCAGTTTTTCGACATCTGTGAACTACTAGACAGTCATTCAATTAAAAAAATAATATTAAATAAATAAAACTAATAAATAAAAAATACACACATCTTACTGATCTCTGCAGTCAGTAACATTACACATAAAGTGCAAACATAATAGCAATTGTATAAACACACACACAAACACGCCTTTAAAATTTAAAGCCGTGAAATTGGACGGTCTAGCCTTCTGATTAGCGTCACCGCTGTCTCGGTGGAGTTTAATAAACTCGGCCGTCTGCTTCTTGCTATCTAAAATATAACCAGACACTGGTGTAAATTCTCGACTGTCTCATACTTCTGTTTAATAAGTTTTCTGTTTGACGTTTAGTCAGCTGTGTGAAAACCAAGGAGGAACCCACCCGGGGGATTAATAAAGTTTTATTTTATCTAATCTAATAACTTTAATCTCAGCCAAACCGATTTACTCACGAACAAACAAAACACTGAAAAAAGCCCAACAATAACATTTTTAGGTTGTCTAAGTGACTTATATATTACGTTTAACCCGAGCAGCGAAACTCCGCGGTGATCTGAAAATGATGTGCCGGGAGTTGTGCCGTTCTCGGCCGCATCGGTAACCCTCGAGCTCTCGGCTAGCTGTCGAGCAGCAGATGCCTCTGAAAACGTCGAAGCACTTTTGCAAATATGGGATATCTTGATAAACCGAGCAGATATTTGATGTTTACACAACTACTTTCTCGCCTGAAAATATGTTAAAGGTTTATTTTGTGACCCAGAAAGATTAGTATGAGTAATTTTAAAACTTAGTAGCGGCCGCCATTGCTGGAAACTGGAGTTTGGCTGGGCCGCGCTATGAATTCTGGGATATGGTAGTAATTTGGACAGCCTTCGGCGCGTCGCTGTGACGTAATCGGTCTACAAATGCGGCCTCAGGAGGATGCAGCCCATGAATTTGGACATGTCCAGAGTATAATCGCAGCCTTTGCGGTTAGAAAATTGCACTTGATCATGTCGCGATATTATCGCAAATGCGATATATCGTTCAGCCCTAGTGGGAATCATGAAACCTATGGGCTGTTCAGCTGCAGAAATCTGAGGCAGTTTGTGCACAACCTAAACCTAAAACCTCACCAGTATCACAATCAATGAAAGAGGGTAAACTACTATAGATTTAGTAATCATGCTTCTTTTTTTTCTTTTTTTTTTCTTTTTTTTTTTTTTAATTGCAGTTCATTTGGGTAGTTTAATCAGAATCAGAAATACTTTATTAATCCTGAAGGAAATTATGGGTTACAGCTGGCAGCATGCACACCAACCAGTACCAATCCCTGAGGCCAGCAGGGGTTGGTACTGGTTCTTCCTACAGACTGACCAACAAAGAGGCCACGTTCCAGGTATGTTGGAGCTTTGATATCAGAATTCATGACATCACACATGAGTTGGCACGTTCCAGAAAAAGCGAGAAAAAACAGGATTTGTTTCTGTTCTTGGCATGCTGGAGTCATTCACGCATCACACGCAGTGCAGCAGTAATACTACTTTTGTGTTTAAAAAAGACATTCGTGGATAGAGCCTGGTCAGTGCTCTGTGTATGGCTTCTTTACTAAGTCACAAATACACAACAGTGGCAGTACAGATTCAAAGGTTTACAGTTTCACAACTGTTTACATTCACTGCCGCCATCTTGGATTGCTAACTCGGGGTTTGTCTGCTCCGAGTCGGGAAATCTGAATTGAGGAGGAGTTTCCCAAAAATTCACTGGGGAAAATGAGTGTTGCGTCAGGGCCAGGCGTATAGAGTTTATTGTTGTACTTCAA